TTAAAGAATGTTATAAAAACACAATACAAATATATATATAAAAAATAATTTGCTTCAATTATTAGGGAAACATGCACAAACATTTGCATGAGTGTGGTGTAGTATTATTTGGTTAGAGATATAATATTAGATTTGGTTAGATATATAATATTATAGTCGGTTAGAGAATTTCAACTGGCAGGGTCTAGGAGGAGAGCCTTTCCTGCCACCCCTCACCACACCTTGTGGAATATCTTGCCCCCCGAGGTGAGACTGGCCCCCACTCTTCTAGCCTTCCAGAAGAGCTTTAAGATCTGGCTCTGCCGACTAGTTTGGAGACCCAATCGGGGCTCCCAACACTGGGGTGGCTGGCACCTTGAGGATGCTCTCTCCACCTTTTAACTTTGTACTCTTTTAATATACTTCGTAGTGTTTAAATGTTTTTATGTTTTTTATTGTGAGCCACCTAGAGTCACTGATAGTGAGATGGACGGCATATAAACTTGATTTATGAATGAATGAATGAATGATGAGTGTTCAAGTCCGCTCTCATCCATGGAAAATCACTGAGTGTCTTTGGGCTAATCACTGTCTGCCCAACCTACTTCGACAGGTTGCTAATATGGTGATAAAAACGAAGGGAGAGATGCACATAAGCCACCTTGAGTTGTTGGAGGAAAGGCAAAATATAAATCTAACAAACAAATGACAAACAAATAAAAGGAAAGTAACATCAAGGGACAAAAGTGTGGGAAAATGTGCATGAATTAAGGCACAGATTTTTGTGGGAAAAAAATCACAAATGAAATGGAATAAATTTACCATTGGAAAAATGTAAAATAATAACCTGACAAGTTCTGAGAAAGATATGAGCTAAAACAATGGAATCTGTTGACATCTATTAAGTTATATCACTGGATTTACATTTGTTTTCCTTTGTGTTTTATCTGATGAGTTAAAAGACTGGATACTAGTTTCAGTTTCACACTTCCACATCAGGTTTATTCAATATACTTCCTTATTCTACAGGTAGCTCTTGCTTAGCAACCACAATTGCTGCGGTCGCTAAGTGAAAAATCACATGACCACGATAGGCTTACGATCTCACTTCCCATTTGGTCGTTAAGTGAATCACCACGGTCGTTAAGAAAAATATCATGCAACCATGATTTACTTCCGCCTTCTCTATTAACTCTGCTTGTTGCAAGCCACTTGCGAAGCACACCAATAGCAACCCCATGTCGGTGGGATGCTGTGATGGTTGTAAATGCAAGGACTGTTCACAAAGCTTTTTATTACAACATCATAACTTCAAACAGTTGCTAAACAAGGCAGTTGGTAAGCAAGGACTATCTGTACTGGGTTTCTGAAGCCCTTGCTTAGCTTTTCTTTTTAATGGAGAACTGCTTTGGCTATTTGGACAAATGGAAAGGAAATGAACCTGAAGTGACACTCCCTCACATTTCTTCTTCCCCTCTATATCTCTCTATGTTGTAGCATCTAAAATTGAGCTGTCTTTTCATGCAGTTAATTACCCAGGTTATGCCTGTATTTGAAGCTTGCAGATATCCATGGGGGCAATGCTGTCAAACTACAGAGGAATAAAGCAAATGGGTCTAGAAACACTCCTTGAAGATCTTCCCTCAGAATGCTATAAGTTTGAGTTCCTTGCTCCTGACCCCCAATCTTGCCTCTCTTCTTGAAAAGTCTCTCTGATGACCTATTTTACTAAAATGGCAAGCCAGTGAGATCCTGAATAAATATTCCAGTCTTCAGGCAAACAAGTTTGATTCAGGCAAAGCAGAAATTAGGGAAGCTCACAGATAAATCCCACGTTGCTTCAATGAGGGCATCTGATCAGAGATGAAATAGCCTTGAACGACCACCTCCATTTTCTAAGTTTATGCAGGTGTGTGCAATTTTGGGAAATGGAAGCACAGTTCCTATGTCTTTTCAACATCCGCCTTTTCAACTTGTTCACCAGCTAATTTTCCCCAGTCTTGCTGGATCCAGCTTTTGCTTCATGATTCTATATCTAAATAATGAGCATAGATTTTTTA